CCGGTACTGCTGACATCCCTGGCCCTGCCCGGCTCGGCCCAGCACCGCAAGGGCCTGACAGAGCCCCGGCGGTCCCACGCTCGCCTCCCTTCTCCCATCCGTCTTTCCTCCTTGCCTCTGTCAGCGCTCAGGTCTGGCCGCCCTCCTCAGCTCTTCCTGGTCCAGTCCCAGCCCAGCCCAGCCAGTTTTCCCCCAGTGCTTCACCTTTCAGTCGGCTCAGAGCGCCTTTCGCCTGCGTACCCGCACCGGTCCCTTGCAGCTGCTGCTAGTCACAGGCACCGCCCCTAGGGCTATCATTGGCTACTGGATACCCGAGGCCCCGCCCAGTCACGTGAAGGGCGTCCTGGCAACCCCACGTGCTGTGGATTAGTGTACTTCCGGCGTGAAGTGTGCTTTGAGGAGTCTGGCTGCTGAGGGAAGACTCGCCGGCGAGGCGGCTTGCACACTGCATCGTTGGTTCGGGCCCTGGGTGAAGATATATGGGAAAGAACCACGCGCCCGGTGGCCCCTGCCCTCAGGTGCGTGTTGTAGTCACGTGACAGTTTCAGAACTCGCGAGTCGCGTGAATTTCCCCGAGTGGCCCGCGTGGCTGTGCAGGGAACTTAGCGTTCGAGCTTCTGGTTCAGTGTGTAACTCTCCTTGGGGTTGAAACACATGCGTGTTCCTAAAAGAGCACAGGCGCAGTATTTTGCTATGGGTACCGCATCATGGGTTCGATGCGTTATAGCTGTCCACTCTGGTGAGATTTTGTCGGCGACTGACAGCTTGGTTTTCCAGCAGTAAAATGACTAACTCAGTCCTCACAACAGAGGCTATGATGAAGTTGTAAAGGAAGATGGAGGTTTCCCATCCAGAAGGGTGTGCTACTCAGTCTTTCCTTGACATTCCTTTGAGGCTGGCTTTTTTCATATACCTTAGAGATGTTGGATTGACTTCAAAATTGAACTGGAGCCTATAGACTAGAGGTTTTTTTCTATTATTTTTAGAATTATTAGATTGCAAATATTTAAGGAAGAATTACATAGGCAGATAGTGTACTAAATATTTCATCAGTGTTGTATAATCTTGACTGGTAACTCGTTTAATCTATTATAATTTATATAAAATAAAACTTATTTTTACTTTGGTTAGTTTTGAAAAAACATGAAGTTATATAATCACCACTGTAATCAAAATGCAGAATATTTTCTTCATTCCAAGAGTTTCCGATGCCATTTTGTGATCTGTGCAGTTATTCACCATCTACCCTTCACATTCAGACCTTGACAACCATCAACAACTTCTGTTTTACCTGCATTTTGAGTTATGGAAAAAGGACGCGTTAAGTAGTTTTCCCCAAGTCACACAGTAAATCAGAGAGCCAAGATTGAAGTCTAGTTTGGCTCCAGACTATCACCATATAACTAATTCATGTAAGACTTGGATTTAGAATACAGTGATTTAACTTTATTCATTCAACAAATGTAAGCTATTCTCCTGAAGTTGAATTAGCAAATTACTTTAGTCATTACTTTTTAGGAGATATACAGGTTTCTGTGAGCCTCTGATCACAACAGTTTCATTAGTCAAGATATAGTCTGTGTATGTTTTTCTTTAAAGATACCTTAATATATTTTGAACTCATTGCTGACCACACTAAAATTCATGCTTTCAGGTTTCACAGATTCTCTCTATAAGGCACATTGTATTGCCTTCTTGTACTTTGGAACACTAGACAGCTGTTTAGGATGATGCTTGGGGCCATTTAAAGCAATGAAATCAAAAGCCATAAAAATGCAATAATTGGCAGTGAATAGACTGACAAGAACACTTCTTTACATTTTGACAGCTCAGATGATACTAAAGAAGAGTGCTGACATGTTTGACCTGAGCTAAAAAAGTGTACATTGGATGACTCAACTATCTCTGTATGTTCACAAGTGACATAAAGAATACAGTCACATAAGTACTTAATTATGTATGCAAATCACCAAATACAGAATCCAAACAAGTAAGGATAGACTATATTTATTTTAGTACTCTTACATCTGGAATCACATCAATCAAGACAGTCCCTTGTTTATAAAGTGTTTAGAGCATGGGCAGGAGTTAGCCTGGCAATTTTAAAAGATAATGCTAGTAAAGAAATAACTAGAATTCTGAAAGAAAGAGTCCCCCCTCATATAGTATCTAACTACATAAAATCCTTTCTAAAAGGTGAGATTAATTTCAAATATATTTTGTTTAACCCAATAAATACACCTAAATCATTCACATATACCAATATAAAAACAATCTTGTAAGCTTGCTTGCTCCCTTCCTTCCTCCCTCCCTCCCTCTTTTCTTTTCTTTCTTTCCTTCCTTTCCTTTCCTTTCTTTTCTTTCTCCCAGTACTGGGGATAGAACTTGACCTTACATTTGCCAGACAGGTACAGTGCCACTGAGATATATCCCTGGCCCTATAAAAGTTGTTACTAGCATATGTTACATTCTTTTTTATTTAATAGTAAGCCTTCAAAGTCTGGTATGTATTTTGATTTTTTTTTTTTTTTTTTTTTTTATTTTTTTTTTTTTTTTTTTTTTTTTTTTTGTGGTACTGCGGATCAAACTCAGTGTTGGGAATCAAACCTTGTGCTTGCAAGGTAGGCAGCAGAACCACTGAGCTAAATCCCTGGCCCTCTGGTGTGTATTTTGTACTTAAGATACCTCAATTTACGTGCCACATTTCAAGTGCTTAGGAGGTTGTGTGGCTAGTAAATAATATATTGGACACCACTGATCTAGAAATGAAAACACCACTTCTCTGCTGCTCTGGGGATGATAATCTAATAGGAGATTCGAAAAGTGGATAGAAATTAACAGTGGGAAGGGGGTGAATAAGCCATTTTAGCCAAAGAAAATGGTATACAAAGGGCTATCACAGGTGACAAAAATCAACGAATCTATCTTTACTGTACACGACTTAATATGCCTTGTGCATTGTAAAAAATGATGAATGGATTTAGACTTTCTCCCCAGGGCAATAAAAAATAATTATACAAGAAAATAGCAACTCTCTTTTTTTTAAATCAAGAGAGACCAATCTAGTTATAATATAGAAATTTTTTAGAGGAGAAACTATTGGAAGTAGGAAATCAACTATAAAGAAAATAGTTATCTTGATCAATAAAGTCGTCAGTATGAGAAGACAGAAAGCAGACAATTATAAATGAAAATGGAGAGATTGTCATAATTCAGGGTTGAGGAACAAAATAGGAACGCATAGGATGTAAAGAAGAGGAAAAAGTACAAGTGTGACTCTGGTTATGGCAAGAAAAATTGAGTGAATGTTGGTACCATTCATTGAAATAGAATATATAAAATAAGCAAGTTTCCAAGAAAAGTTGAGTTTACTTTTAGACAGACTGCGTTTAAGATTCCCATGGGCAAGAAGTCTATCTGAAATAGACGCTCACTTTAGAATCATCAGTTTATAGATGATGATTAAAACATGTAAATGATTGAAATCTTTTGGAAATAATTGTGCACAGCGAAAAAAGCAAGAACATCTAAGATGGAGCCCTGCTGTACTTAAGGAATACACAAAAGAAGAGGAGAATGAGAAGGAATATTGTATTTCCCAGGATTCTTTTGTGAGAAGCAACAGAAGCCAATTCCTACCAACTTAAGAAGCAAGAATAAAAGAAAAGGAATGATAAAGAACTCCAGATTTGAAGGGAAGGCTGAAAGGACAGACACTGTACAACCTTAAATTTGTATAGAAAGAATCATTGTATAAACTCATTTGAAGTCACTAGAATGAACAACCTATAAGTGTCAGTATAGAGATTCTAAGAGTTAATATTCTAGAAGATGGTATTTCAATTGCTATAGCTTTCACTTCCGTTCTACCTTTTGTCGAGGCATCTCATTCCAAAAGTCCTATTTCTGTTTCTATGTTATATCAAGGAATTTCCACCATGTAAATTTTCATTAAAATCAAAGAGCACTGGATTCAAAATAGCATTAATCATACCACAAACTATTTCACATAGCTACATAAAAAGCATGTATTATCTTTCTGTGATTATAATATCTGAAACAGTCAACTTATAAAGAGAAAAGGTTTATTTTGGCTTACAGTTTTGGAGGTTTCAAGTTATGATCAGTTGACTCCATTGCTTTTGGATCTGTGGCGAGGCAGAACATCAGGGCAGGAGTGCATCACTGCATGGCCTGGAAACAAAGGAAAAAGAACAGTAGGGCCAAGGTCCTACAAATCCCCTTCAAGGGTACACTCCCCATGGCATAAAGATCTCTTTCTAGGCTCCACCTCTTATAGTTTCTGCCATCTATCAGTAGCACCACCATAGGATCTAAGCCCTTAACACATGGGCCTTTGCGGGATACTTAAGATCGAAACCATAGCATAACACATTGACATATATACCCAACCAGTAGATTAAGCCTGTATTTTAATCTTTCCTCTATGATTGTTTCTCTCTTTTCCATAAAAAATTTCCAAATTCTTTTTCACATTTTAAAATTTCTTACTTGCGTAGTTTGCATTTTTTAAGTTAAAATAATTTGAACAAATTGGCACTCTGATTAAACTGCCCTTTCCAACCTGCAGGGCACTTAGAACCATTTTGGATTTTATTCTACAGTTCACCATCCTGCCACCCAGTTTCCTTCAGCTAGTCACATTATTTTCCTCTGACAGCCAAGTAGGAAGATGGCAAAGCGGAGCAGCTTTCATTATCAGTAGTTTTCTATATGATTTAAACTTAATCCAAGTCCTTTGTACCTTACAAAGTTAAACAGTTGAAAAAAATAAGGCAATGCTCATAGAATGTACAGTGCATACAGTTAGTGCATGCCTCATTTTAATTCACCAATTTGCTACTCCTGATTGGTCATTTCTTTAGAAACTTGCATTTTCTTTTGCATTTCTTTCTTTATGTTTCAATTTTGATGTACCAGATTTCTGAGTCTTAGCCATACTGAGTTTGTCAGACATGGTTGTTCAAGAAGTAGAGTGAAGTGCATGAATAAGAGAGGAGTGGTGTTCCAGTGGCCAACACCAGCTCTTTGTGTTGGAGATTGAACCCTGGGCTTTGCACATGCTAGACAAGTGCTATACCACTGAGCTATATGTGTAGCCCTCTAAATTTTTGGATATAGTTGTCCCCTCCTTACCTAGAAACTGCTTTCTGTGGTTTAATTTATTATCTGCTATCAACCATGGTTGAAAATGCTGAATAGGAAGTTCTAGAAATAAATAAGTCTCAAGTTTGAATTAT